CATATATACGATATGAGTAAGCTGCTGGATAATTTTTTAATGCTATACACACAAAACTAGATTAAGAGCCCCTGCTACTATGTAGATTTTCTGCAGAATGTTGTGCCATATATTACATATAGAAGGTGTTTAATAACTGTTATATTCTATGGTACTCACATCACATCAACCAATTACCCTGTTTTGTGCTGAGCAATAGAGGAAATACAAAAGTTAACACAACAAGGTCTCTGTCCTTAAGGGACATGCAATGTTGTTGGAGAAATAAAGGAGAAATACACAAAAAGTTATATAACAAGAAAAAGGGTAAGAACAAGGCAGTACGGCTAATTGTCAAAAAAAAGGGGATGAGAGAAATAAGTACTGGGAATACAGAGGTGGGTAAGATGTACCAGGCACGTTCAGATCATAGAAAAGACACAGAGAAAAGACCCAAAAAAGGAATGCACAGCTATTTCAAAAATAACCTGTAGGAGGAGAGAACACCGGGCCTGGGAACATAAAGCACAGCGTTCACAGGGTCTAACTGAAAGGCCAAGACGCATTTCTGCCTTCTTCCCAACAACACTGACCACCTTGGTCAAATCCTGTATCTTCTAGAGGCAAAATGTCAGTGTCGACTGACACTTACTACTGACATGTTATTATTTTTTCTCAACTATGACCTCTTGTATTTATTGGATTAAACTTTTTCTGACATACGTCCTAACTGTTCCTGTGTTCTTCTCCTCCAGACAAAACCAAAACTGTAACATTATATTACCACTTTCCATTTTGAAAGTTTTGATTTAGAAAGACATAAGCACCTACTCTTGCAACTGCTGAGAAATGCTAAAACTGGCTTCAATTCCATGACATAACTATCTATTGGTTTTGCCACTCTATGCTATTGGATTTTATGCATTATTCATGCACATTTCGACCAAAATAGCATTAAGAAAAAAACTCAGCAAGAAAGCCTTTCTTGAGCAACTGATCTCAACATGTTTCTAAAAAGGAAAATGAACAGACAGTAAGAAAAACAATATATTTTTAAGTTATAATATTTAAAAGGCAGGCATTTTCATGAAACTGCTATCTCAGACCAATACTAAAGAGTAATAGCCATGAAATTACTTAACAGGTAACACATGTTTCAAAAATAATTCCTTAGAAGATTATCAGAGATTCATAAACCCATGCACCTTTAGTTTTCTCCCCCTTAGCTACTTTTTCATTTCCCCATCTCTGTGAGCAGGTCTTACAGCTCCAACTTGATTGTAAGTTCCTTGAGAACAAATCTTACCTTTTAATACTACCTCATCCCTGCTTACTCCTTTGTCACCCATCCCTCCTTTCCCACACAGCATCTCAAGTAGTGTATGCAGACTGTATAAAATCAGCAAGCATTACTGATTCTCTTTATTGAATACCAATATGTTTTTAGGGAAGACAGAAATATCAATGACATTTGGTCAACAACCTGCCTTCAAAAAACATTTAGAGAGCAACTATGATTCTATGCTAAGTATTTCAGGGATATAAATAGATAAGGTCCCTTCCATCAAAAAGAGACAAGCACAATACAAGGATAGGGCTATAAAAAAGGTGTAAACTGAGGGAATACAAAAGAAGAAATGCTCAATTCTGCCTGGGGGCGTCAGGAAAGACTACCTAGGAGAGAAGATAATTGAGAGATATTTGAGAGCTTTGGTAGGAGGAGAAAAGGGCAGCATAAAGTAAAGGTGAAACCGAAAGGGTAGAAATGTGGTAGGAAAATGCAGAAGGAACTACTTTCTTCTTCCCTAAAGTGGTTCCTTCTACATATTTCCATACTTTATTTGCTGGCAGAATGGAATTTTTCCACAGAATTAGCTTTTAGTTTCTCAGTAAATCTTTTTGCTTCAATACGCATAAATGTATAGCCCTCTTCCCAGGAAGTGTTCATTTACAATAATATCGGAAATTTCACTCGACATAACCATTTCATTCCTTAAACACACACACACAATGAGGAAAAAACATGATGTTTCATTAGATTTAGCTCCTTTCAAATCATGTTACACAATGGAATTCAACCAAATTGTGAGAAAGAAATGTTTGCTTTATGGAATTTTGTAAAATCTTTGGTCACTAAACATACTGGAAAAATAATTTTTAAATAATCAAAAAATCCCAGGGGGCTGGAAAAATTATACTACACTGTAGGCTTGCATCAAAGTTTGTCTCACCCACTGTATTAGTAGATTTTCACTAATCCTGCTTATCTGAAAATACTTAAAGGGACATGATAAAGGAAAACAAGAAGTCACATGGACTTTAAATCTATACGAATAAAATTATCCTTTTCTCTTAAAGAAAGTAACAGAAGTTGTAGGCAACTTTTAAAAAGAAGATCAAGCATTTAGTGAAAATAATTTACAAATTCTTTTTTTTTTTTTTTTTGTGAGGAGATCAGCCCTGTGCTAACATCCGCCAATCCTCCTTTTTTTTTGCCGAGGAAGACGGCCCTGGGCTAACATCCGTGCCCATCCTCCTCCACTTTATATGGGACGCCGCCACAGCATGACTTGCCAAAGCAGTGCGTCGGTGCGCGCCCGGGATCCGAACCAGCGAACCCCGGGCCGCCGCAGCGGAGCGCGCGCACCCAACCGCTTGCGCCACCGGGCCGGCCCCAATTTACAAATATTTTAAGAGAAGCATCTTTAAAAATCTTTTTTTTCATATCTTTTAAATATTAGAATGGGCTTGATTTAATCTATTATTCTGATTCAGCAATTAAAAATACGCTTCAAATGAAATATAGCTTTGTATACTTTTTCTTCTTCTCGTTTAACTCTGTATCCAACTGCCTGCTGTCACTACTGCATTTGAGAACTGCAGAAGGCCAGTGTGGCGAGAGCACAGTAAGTGAAGGGAACAAGGGGACAAGACTGGTTTGAAGAGAGAGGCAGGGTCTGGATCATGTTGATAACCTGGAAGGCCCATTAAGAAGTCTGAATTTTCTTCTAGATGCAATGAGAAGCCACTGAAGGATTTTAGGCAGGGGAATGCGATGATGTGATTGTCTACACAGTGTCACTGTGGATGGTGTGTAGAGAGTGAACTTTAGGAAGGCAAGGCTGGAAGCACAGAGATCAGTTAGGAGGCTAGACAGAGTGTGTGCAGCACAGGTGATGATAATGACAGCTAGCATCTGTCATCCTCTTAGAGTGCCAGGCACTGTTTTAAGTACAAATATTTATTAATTTACCCCTCACAATAATTCTACAACCCACTTGAAGATGAAGAAATGAGGCACAGAAAAGTGAAATAACTTTCCAGAGGGTATAGGAAGCACATGAGCCATAACTTATCAACAGCATTCTAGCCGCAATACCTACACTTTTAACCGCTACACTATAGTAATAGAACAGAGATGGACTCAAGGTATGATTTGAAGGTAGAATGGGCACTGCCATAGATATGGCACAGGAATGCCATGAATCACTCCCAGTGACTTTCCTTCTTAGATGCCCCAAATAGAAGAAATACAGGAGATAACACTACTGAACTTGGCACAGTGTAGATGGGAATAAATGTCAGCAGCCAAAAATGCCATTCACCCTCCTCTTACCCTGTCACTCATTCCACTGCCTTCAAATCTTATCTTTACTTTTTCTTCCCAGTATGAGTCACTCTTTTCACAAATACCATATCTAATTGACAACATCATCATCATTATCATCTTTTCTCTAATTATTCCAAAATCTCATGATTAAAATGACTTTTTTCCCCTTCTTTTGATTATATCACACTTCTAATAATAATGTTCCTATTTTCCCTGTTTATCTTATATAACGAATCTCTTCTCCATAAGTCTACCAACATCATTTTCCTTGTCCTATATTATCACACCATTTTCTTTAACTTCCTTAATCTAATCTTCTTTAGTTCTCATTTCTACCACCTCTCACTGTGCTTCCTTTAATTTGCTATTATGAATTTGATCCTTTAACTCCATATCCACTGAGGTCTCCTGCTTCTATGGTTAAGTTTTGTGAGATCCAGTAATGGCATACGTTCATCTATTACATAAGCACTTAATTTCCTCACTTAAAAGAATTAATTGTTCTCGATCTCAGTGATCTCCAAACACTCCTTTCCATGCTTCCTTCCACTCCCCCACCCACACCTACCTCAAAAATTCTAAAGTAAATTCCTAAAGGATCAAAACTACTTAGCAGCACCTCCTCTCGCAAGTCATTCTCAACTCTCCATATACATCTCCTGCTTTTTGAGTACCTAGTACACGTCAGGCACTGTCCTAAACACTATTTAAACATATGAACTCATTTAATCCTGACTTAACCCGTTGAAATGGATACTATAATTATCTTCATTTTAAATATGTGTAAACTGAGAACCAGAAAGGTCATGGAACTTGCTCAAGGCCACACAGCTGGCTACTGTGAGAGGGAGGATTCCAATTCAGGCAACCTGGCTCTGGAGTCCATGCTTGTTGCCAGTATGCTACACTGCTCTTTGGCATGTATTTCTGAGGCAAAGTTAAGCACTTTCTTTTCTCTGCTCCAGCTACACTATGGTCTCACCTCTGCTTTGGCACTTAGCATACTGTACTATAACCAACTGTTACTTATCTGTATTCTTTACACTAAGACCTCTCTGAGGACAGAAACTGTCCATCTCTCTATCCTTAAACATGTAATAGCACCTGGCACTAGGAGGTATTTAATGGTCACTGAATAAAGGAATAAACTAAATCTGTGCAGTTTTAACAGCGCTCCAGCCCTAGCATAGCATATGCCGTCAACAAAGGCAGACTCAGTGATGACTTTCATTCCAAACTTTCAGGCTCCTGCCCTAATAACATGACACACAAAAAAAGGTAGTTTGGGGAGCTGTAGTGATACATTTCTACTCTTTACTCCAGGAAACTCAAGGTAACACCACTCTAAGAAGACATTTAGGTGGTAGACTTTAAATGACCAACAAGACAGATGGCAGGATTCTAGAATTACCTGACAACGCATCCTATAACTCGTCCTCACTAAGGATGCTGAGAGGTGGTGAGCTTTGAACCAGAGACTGCTCTAATTCATGATGTTCAGTGGCTAGAGTCTCCGGTGCTTCTAACAGGATTTTGGTGTTTTCCTTGCTCTTGTTCCAATTTAAAATTCCTCACCTAGAAGAAAACAGATATACAAAAAAGACTTCAGACTGACAGGAGACACAGACTTACTCAGAAGAATGTGAAAATTATTTGCTTTTGATCCAATTCAATTGCAACATCAGAAATGAAAACAATTGTGTAATATACACACGGATGAATGAGCAAAATTGCTAAGCTAATTCTGTTCTTCTCGTGGGGCCTTTTCTTACAACAGTTCTAGCTAATGAAAATAGATTAAGAACTAGCAAACAAATTCAGCTCAAATGATCAGGATCCTAGTATAAGAACATTAGCCAATTCAAAAATCATATAAAAACTTTTTAAAATAGAGAATATTTCTCTCTACATTAATCATGAAATTGAGAAGCCAGTTTTTGAACAAAATAAAGAATTAAAACCATTTTAATTATTAAAATGTGTACCACATCAAAGCATAAGATATATTCCTCCAGTTTACTTCCAAAATGTTGCTATATCAAACGAAGGGAAACAAGTGGCCAGATAATGACATTTTGATTTCTATTTTTCAATTCCATATTTTGGTTTTGGCTCCATATTTCACCTTGAATTTAGTACACTAAAAGAACAACAGATTATAGAAAAGGCAAAACTTTCATCCTCTGAAGATACAATCTATTCTTCCTATATAATTCAAGAGCATCTGAACTTTTATAGTTAACTAAAACCTTCTAAAATTTAAGTAACATAATCCTCATATAAAATAGCAGGTACTAGACTTGGTATGGATAGTTTCACCTATCTTTGTATCAGAACTCTGGAAATCACAACTATTTCATAATCTCCCTCAATTTCTGGAGCCCATGTGGCACTCTAGACAGGGGCCAGAAAAGCTGGGATCTCCAATCCTCACTGTGTAATCTCAGAAGTCTCCCGTTCCTGTTTCCTTTTTTATAATAGGGATTCTATTATCGCCTAATAATCTAATCAGTGGTCTTCAACTCAGTGGACTCAGTGGACTTTTTCTAAAACTTTAGCAGCAGAACCTATTTCTCAAATATAACCCCAACATATAAAACAGACGTTTTAGAAAACAGAACTGTGCTGAGTGACACTGGTTGAGTGACACTGGATACAGACCCGGAGCCTCTTTGACTTTCCCTTCCCCTCCCTGAGGTCCCTTCAAGGCCCAAACCCAGGGGCTGTTCCAAAAGTTTGAAAAGCACTAGAAGGAGTGACCTCCAAAACCTCCTCCAGGTCAAAATTTCTGTCTCTGCCTCTTGGGAGCTGTAGAACTCTCGCACAAATGCTCTCTGAATTACTCATCCTCTCACTTGCTGACATTTCCGCTCACATTCCCCTTCTCTTGGTCCCCAAGGACTCAGTGATCTCCTCCTCTGTTCTGACTCCAGAGCCCTTTGTGGCTCTGAGTTCCTGAGAGCCTCACATTAGGTACAACACTCCAGGAGTGCCAGATATAACTTAAAATACAGTTTTATTGATATGCTAAGTTCATAACATATACAGGGTCACATTTTTATTATCTTGGGATAGTTCCAGCCCTCAGGCACCTTAGTGTTTATCATTACAACAACAAGATTATTATTATTATAACTGTGAAAATACAATAAAAATAGCAATAATAGTAAGCAATAATCAGCAGAGAAGACATGCAAAACTGAAAAAAAATTAAATACTCATATAATTACAACTTTTAAGAAATGGCAAAATACTTAAATATTCCTATAATCTAAATTTTATCTCCAGAGGAGGAAATACTCTTACTATGGCTGGAGTCAATTTAAAAAAAACAAAGCTCTTCTTCCTCTATTTGATGGGTTAGACAATTCATTTATCTATAAACAAGGACAAAATTGACCACAATGTCCAAAATGATCCTTTCCTTGAATGGAAAAGATCTATTAGCACTATCTATCCAAAAACACCACTGCAGGAAGATCCAAATCTTTCACCCCTGACTTCCCACTCCCTGTTGGCAAAATAAATGATTGAGGCCCCAAAATATCAAGTTCCCTCAACAAAATCTTATTCAAAATCCAATTTATCCTTTATCCATCTAAAATAAACATTACTTTATTTCTGCCACCTCAGCATCTGTTCTCTCTGCCACCATTCTAGTTCTTTTTTGTGTGTGTGTGAGAAAGATCAGCCCTGAGCTAACATCCATGCTAATCTTCCTCTTTTTGCTGAGGAAGACCGGCTCTGAGCTAACATCTATTGCCAATCCTCCTCCTTTTTTTTCCCCAAAGCCCCAGTAGATAGTTGTATGTCATAGGTGCACATCCTTCTAGTTGCTGTATGTGGGATGCGCCCTCAGCATGGCCAGAGAAGCGGTCCGTCGGTGTGCGCCCGGGGTCTGAACCCGGGCAGCCAGTAGCGGAGCACGCACACTTAACCGCTAAGCCACGGGGCCGGCCCCCACCATTCTAGTTCTTACCTTGCTTTTATCTATCAGTTGATCTGAGTGCACTTACATTAGTTTCAAGCATAACAAGATCTTCTGCACTGAAGATACCTTACTCTAAAACTACCCATAAAATGGCAGTATCTCCAGCCATGTAAAGTGATATATCTGAAAGAGTAGTTATATATATATATCACAGAAACTGCACTAGTAAAGAGCCCTCTCATTGCTTTATAGAAGCATCTAAGAACATACTTAACTATCACTTTTTAGTCAATTAGAAGGATCACTGGAACAATCTAATTCTAAATCCTCTACAATCTCAATATTTCAGAAACAGCTAGGGGATATCCTGCATTGAAAAATTAGTGTAGAACTAGTGCTCAAGTTATGCAGAGTGCAAATTCATAAAATCTTCATCTTACTTTTAAACTTTGTTTACAAATACAAATTCTCATTTGGTAGCTTAGAAACCGTGTTGTAACAGAAACAGTTCCTTTTATACACTACCTCTTCGTAATTCCAGGCACAGCACTTCATTTATATTCCATATCAATATACGCACACTGATGATGGTTTTTTAAGTCCTCACACTATAATTGCCCTAGTTATTATTAAAGGAAAAAAGAACTTCCTTTACAAGATTAGTGGAGCCCAACATATGTGTTTATAATTACATTAGAGGATTTCTAGAATACGGTTAAGATTTTATTTTTCAAATTCACATATAAAATTCACACCTTCTGCCCTATGACTTTCCCACAACAAAAATCAACATATAAGCAAGTGAACATAAATGTCAATCTTTTTTTTTTTTTTTTTGCTGAGGAAGATTCGCCCTGAGGTAACATCTGTTGCCAATCTTCCTCTTTTTTTGCGTGAGGAAGACTAGCTCTGAGCTAATATCTGTGCCACTCTTCCCCTACTTTGTATGTCGGTCACTGCCACAGCATGGCTGACAGTGTAGGTCCGTGCCCGGCATCCGAACCCATGAACCCAGGCCGCTGAAGCAGAGCACGCCGAACCTAACCACTACGCCACGGGTCCAGCCCCTGATGTCAACCTTTTTATTAGGAAAAATTTAAGGACTGAACGACCACACACTTAAGAGTAAACATATACATTGCTCTGCAGCCCCTTAAGACTAATGCAAATTCAAGCCTTTCCAGCAGTCTCTGCAAACCACTTCAACATAACAATCTTTCATCTTACTCCATTTGATGCTGGCAGGCGAAATTCACAATGAATACTTTCAAAGTGTTCTTCACACTGACAGTGAATGGATGCCAGCAAAAGAATCTAGAGTTTTAAAAACAGTCATGTGCTAGCCAGTGTATACACGTTTTATCTGTTCTCTCATTCTATCAAGTACCTTATTTACCTTTGTTTCACAGAGGTTAAATCAAGCAGAGAAAATAAATCTGGCAAAGAGACACCACTAAGTGGAGAGTAAGTGATTAGTATTCACAGAACACTGTGCCCAATAATCCAAATACAGGTTATGTGAAATTCTGGCCTTGATGATCAATCTGGTGAAGTTCTTTCAACTGGCCACACTCCGGTCAGGTCACCAGCATTAGCCTAACTCTTTTCTTCTTTGTTATTGGATGTATGGCTACAGTAACAAAGAATGTGTTAGCTTAAGCCTGAAATACTAGATCTGGAATTTAAAAACATGTAATTTTATCTTTCAGATAAGGAATTACATTGACACTTATTTCTGTGGTTATTATAGGACCAACAATACACTGACTTGAAAACTTTTTTAAAGACGTGCTTTAGGTGACTCCCTCCTACACAGCTGTTAAAAAGTGGGTCAGCTCCTTTACAATTGGTAAGGGCTCTTCTGCTCATAGAAGACTACCACATTGTTTAGGCAATGGAGGATGGAGCTCTCATGTGAATGCCAATGGTCAATGTTACTTCCGAATCCATAGCCAGGCTGAATCACACTCTCACCTCCAGGGTCCAGGAAAATTAAGATTTGATCCCATGTCTCAGGCACAATCAAGTATGCAAACATATCCTCGTGACCGTATGGTATACATTTGTTTCATCTTATAGATTTACAAAGCACCTTTGCACACATTAAATTTTAGGGTTTTCATGGACTCTAATGCCTATCTTCTATGCCATGCCATCCCTGCTTTCTCAAATGTAATGAATTTCCTTATGTTGCTGAAGCCTTTTTTTCAGTCCTTCCTATCACTAAAAAAAGACACATTTAAAAATAAATATGCCTCAGTGACCAGAGCAGATTTGTCTAAAAGGAGGAAATGTAGATGAGGTAGGATTTGCAAGGAGGGTTGTGGAAGGAGGATTGCACAAAGCTTGCAAACCACTGTAACAATTCGGGCTTTGACTCTGAGTAACATGGGAACACTGGAGGGTTTTGAGCAGAGGAGTAACATTATTTGATTTCCATTTTAATACAATCTCCCTGGCTGATACGCTGAAGAAGAGACCTGGGAAGAGGTCAAGAGTAAAATCAAACAGATCCCTTAAGAGGCCACTGTGACAATCCAGGTATGAGATGGGTAATAGCAACAGAGGTGTTGAGAAGTAGTCAGATTCTGGACATATTTTAAAGGAAGGCCTAAATGACTTGCTGACAGACTATGGGATGTGA